TTTTAAGCTACAAAGTTTTGGAGTGTGTTGTGATTAACTCAGCAATAGATAACTGATAGGTATAGGTCATGAATTTTATTTCTCATTTTTTTATTTCTAACATTTCCTATGAACAAACTATGAAAAAAGCCCCAGTGTTAGCAAATAACTATGTCAGGACCAAATGTGGTTACACTTCTCATTCTTCACGACCAGGTCAATGTTTCTAATTCTACAGAAATGCTGAAATGTATGTATCTCACTCAGAACTTGGGGGTTTAGGGTGGAGGGAGTAGAACATACTCCACAGCCAAAATAACTTAAGTGAAAATTTTGTAAAATTATGATGGTTATGCCCCAAGATGCTGGTGCAAACATAGCAGAGTTGCAACTGAAGGTAACTGGCCAAGAAAGGCAGAATGAAACAAAAATACTGTTTCAAGTGGTAGAAATCATAACATTCTCCTAACAGTTTTTGTGCCTGGCATTTTCTTCCATACACTATAACTTTTAAAAGTTCACCACCCGCTGTCAAGAGGAAATGCCTGCTTTAAGTCACCATCTAGTCAAATATTTACAGACACTAGTGAGTTGGTACCCTGAACATGTTTTTGGATAGTGTACACTGAGATACTAGGGTAAATGGGCCTGACTGAGGGGGTGAAGAGGGCATGACCATGCACCTGTCCTGGTCAAAGTATATGGTGTGCTTAGAGAGTTTAGGCTAGTGAATGTGTCAAACAGGGTCTGCCCTCATGCAAACAAAGAGCCACAAGGGAGGAAATATTAGCAGTAACTATCATAACTATCATTATCAATAGTATTGTTGCTATTACAGTCACTATTATATACCCTTAGCCCCACCACTTCTTCCTTCTCAGTTACTACTAAGTGTCTGGCACACTGCTAACCCCTGGTCTTATCTAATCTTCACAAGAATTCAGCAAGGTATTACCCACATTTTATAGAAAAGGGGACTAAGACGTTAACTGGATAAAAGTAGACAATAAGTGATGGAGCTCCTGCTTTAACCACTAACCTCTACTATCTCCACAGATATGAATTCCTTATGTCACAGGAATTTCAGGAGTGGGAGAAATCCTTCGCAGCAAGAAATGAGGCATAACAAACTATCAATATAAGTACATATGCACTTGTGTATGCTTTCAGTGAGTTTCTTCTGAAAATTGTTATTTAGTCCTGTATGGAATTTGTGTTCCTGTTGAAAGAATCCAGAGACTATTCTTGCTTATAGTAATACAGAAAACATTTTTAAAGGTAAAAAAATTGTATTTCACTTCACTTCTCATTCAACACAACACTGAGAAGGGAATTAGGCATCTCAGGGAATTGGAGCTCACTTAGGCACAAATAAATGTTTTTTGATATCTGTGTATTCCTTAATAGTTCTATTATTTTTTTCCTGATTATAAAAGAAGCACATGCTGGTTGAAAAAACAATTGAGGAAATCATAAAGGAAAAAGATTACCCACAATCTTATTACTTAAAGATAACAAGGTCTTATTACTTGGTGTTATTCTTTCAGATACTTCCTTTCAGGTTTTACTATACAGGACTTCTGCCAATGTTAAAAATCTTGTCATTGATATTCCCATGCTAGCCTCTTCTTTTCTTTTTCTTTTTTAAAGATTTATTCATTTACACAAGAACCGGGGTACAAGCCAGATGTGTGGTAGGGTGAGAGGATTCACCAGAGACAGAGCGGGGACCAGAACAGGCAGACTGATGAAACACACTGCTGAGGGGAGCAGCGGGTCAGACAGGAGAGGTCTGCCACGCCATGTGGGACCCTCGCTGGCCTGCCAGGATGGAACTGGAGCTGCAGAGGCTGCAGACAGCTTCACAGCGCTGAGCTCAACTGCCTGTGCCACCAGGGGAGGCCCTAGCCTCTTCTTTACCTAAACATCATTTTATGTCAATAAATATTGATGTGCATCAACCTTTTAAAACACTGCACAGTATTTCACTGTATGGACAGATCCTAATTGACCCACTCAATCCTTCATTAGTAGACATTTAGATTACTTTCTATGTTTTGCTATGGAAAAAAAGGGGCAGTGAAGCAAACAGTCTCATAAACTTGACCAGATTGTTTCTCTGTGATAAATTACTAGGTGTTTGCCATTTTACCGTATAACTTTGGATTTGTGTTGTCCCAAGTGTCATCCAGAAAATAATGTACCAAATTTATCTTTTGAAAAAGAAGAAAAATCCTTACATTTAAATGTAATAGCATATTTTATACTTCCAATAGTGTCTAGATAAAGTGGCAAAATATTAAACATTTTATCTCTAAATATCCTAACTATCAATAACTTCTAGTGGTTTTATTTTCAGCAAACTGTTGTTTGGAAAAGTTAAACTCCAGAAACAATCATACTTGCTGCAAAATAAGGAAATTAGTAGAGAATGCTAAATAGCAGAAAGGGAGGCCAAAAGGAAAAAAAATAGAATAATCAGCAGTAGCCATATCAGTCACCAAATCTGCATCCTATACAATGGCCAGGAGAGAAGGGTCAAGAGAGAGAGAAAAGGTGACACTAAAGGCAATGGCTCTCAGAGCTTCTGTGATGGTCAGATGAAATTACACACAGACATATACATCCACATGCTCCGTACACACCAATCTGAGAGCTAATCTCCTGAGGCTAGAACACAAGAGGAATCTTTGTGTACTTTATTTAACCAAACATCAAGCAGAAAGGGGGTAGGAGAAGCCAAGATATGGATTTTCTTAAGGTAAGAATGTCTAGTTTGCGGCCTAAGGGTGTAGTATCAATTACTTTCCTTCCAGGGCAGAGAGGATGATAGGAACTTGAATGGTAAGAAAACTTCAAAGACACTGATTCCCTTCAAAACCATCACATAGGACAGGGTGCAATCATGAAGCTCTATGAAAACTGGGTAGGGTGAAAACATTTTTAGCAATAAAGTAACTAGTGATACAATATAATGCCTGTGCCAAGGGCCACATATAATCACACTACAACAGAATTTCATGATGGAGGCAATAGGGGCAGTTAGATCAAAACCACTGAATACCTGAGGTGACAAAAGGGTGTGTGTGTGTGTGTATGTGTATTGGCAGTTTGGTGATACCACTGACCTATAAGACTTATGGGTCTAACACTCTTTTAAGCAAGTAGTCAGCACACTTTGGCTTGAACATGGGCCAAACCTAGCTGCTGCATATACCATGACACTAGAATGGTTGTTATATCTTTAAGTGGTTGGAAAAAAATACCAATGAAATTCTAATATCAAAGTCCACAAAGTTTTACTAGAACATAGCCACAAATATTCACTTATGTCTATGGTGGTTTTCTAGACACAGTAGCAGAGGTAGGTGTGGCAGAGACCTGGGCAGCTGGCGAAGTCGAAAATATTTACTATTCTGTCTTTTACAAAAAGTTTGGTGACTACTGTTCTAGGCCATAAAATCATGTAGTATTTGAATGAATCACAGCTTCACTTGTGTATGCTTGTTGGTTTGGCCCTGCCATACCTAGTGTCTAGATGTAACCTACCAGGCTAACAGAGGACACAACCCCGCTGTTCAGAACAGTACATAGTTCTAATAGGTCCTATAGATATGAGGTACTAGCCCATGGTAACCAGAAGAATGTGAAAAGCTTTTCTGAGTTAAAATGGTCCCAGGAAGTATATGTGGAAATGAGTATGAGTAAAGGTTTTCTCTTTGAAGTGATGCAATGGCTATCACCTAAAAATGAGAATGAAATGATCCTCAAAATGGCTACCTCCTCTAAGTATTTTGTAAGGGCCTAGGACTGAGCAAACTCAGTGGTCATTTAATTTAATGGTTATTTTCTCCAGAGTCAGAGAGGCTAGCTGGCTCAAACTGAGCACAGATAGAAAACTCAGGGAGGTCTGAATTGAAGCCTTCATAACCATTACCTACTCAAAAGGAGAAAGGATGAACATGCACACAAATGAGAAGAAAGGGGCAAGGCCTCGGAATGAGTGGAAGCAAGTTTAATTTTATGGCCATTATAAATATTGTGTTCATCTCTCTTTTTATTTGTAAATTCCTCTCTTCCTTCAACATTTAATTAAGGAAAATACAGTTCCGTTCCAGACTCTCCCTGTTGAGAAAAACTGAGAGCGGTACTCAGTTGTGGGAGCATTATCCAGACAGGGATATGGGTGAGGAAGATTATATGACGACAGTGAAAGAACCCAGATTTAAACTTAAGTCTGCTTTGAATCAGAAATTATATTTTCCCCATCATGCTCTGCTGTCTTGCCAAGGCACAAACATTTTGTTAGAATTATCTCCTAGTCAAATTTGGGAATTTCTGGTAAGCAATAAGAGAGTGGGAGTAAATGAACCATTTGCACCAAAGGTTGGTTGTCACCTTCAAGTCTCTGCTTATTAATCATCTATTTAACTGGTTTACATTTTTAAGTAAAATTTAAAAATAGCCACAAAGCATGTAGGACTAGCATGTTAAGCCCTTTATGTGTGCACATGGTTTATCAACTGGTAGGCAATGCTTTGCTGTGGGAACAAAATGGAAGTGCTTTGTACCTCTAAGACCACATGACTAGGCTAAAGACAACTGTAAAAGGCAAGCATGCAGCACAAAGGTCTACCTTTTTTACTGCCTTTCTCTTGAGAATTGGTCTAACTCCAGTTTTATTTAATAAAAACAGAAATCTCTGACTTTTGTGGGTTCTGGACTTCCTTTAAAAAAGAACTATAGGCCCTCTTCCCAGAAAACACACACACACACACACACACACACACACACACACACACACACACACACGGGTTTACAACTACAGGGTGTTCAGGAATCCCTTGAAGCTCATTCATGGATCCCTAGAGATCCACAGTCTCCAGGATCAGCTATTCTAAAAGCATATAAAGAAACCCCCAACACGTCACAGATCCAGGGTAAACACCATACTGCCAGCTCTCTCATCATCCCTCATAGTGTCAAAGAACTAACATTAAATAAACACTAAAACTTCTTACCTAGACTTTCATACTCTCAAAGAAATCAGGAATCAAATGACTTGAGTAAATCGGCAAATCTAAGGTCATTTAAGTTCAAAGTGCAAATCAGTCTTGTTATAGCTTAAATAAAGCTTTGTTATAGTTTAAAATCTGCTACTTCTTTCTGTCCACAGAAATCTCCCTAGAAAAGAAAGAAACATTAGTAAGGGATAGATCTTGAGTCCTTCCTACTTTAACATTCATAAACATGTTGGTAGAATTGATTACATGCAAAGAAGACCACTTCACTTCTAACATTTACCAAAAGATGTTCTCTCACTACATGACATGAAGAATCAATTTAAAAATTCTGAAATATTCATCACTTACACCTGTGTCATTGCAACTGTGAATTGAATTACATGGTTTACAAAGCATATTTTTGAAGTTCATAAAGACCCATATTTTTATGTGTTTTCTACCACTTGAATCACGAACTTTCAAAAGTGTATTTTTCAGATGCACCTCGAACTTAAAAGTCTTTTCAATCTCTCCTGGTCTTACTACTTCAGAAAATTTCTAAAACTGTTCCACAAAATTACAAGTTACAAAGTGAACCCATAACAGCACTTGGTCAGAACTTTTGTCTATGAGTAACTGTTAAAAGGTTTCATTTAAATTTAACAATTACAAGGGACAGTGATACTTTCTGATACACATTAAAGATTCTTTTAAGTCACTAGATACTGTTTCAAAATCAGTATTATGGCGCGAAGTCCATGTAACAAGTACCTTTAAAAGGATATCCTTTCAACACTTGACAATCACCTTTTAAACAATATGGGTCTCTACCAAAATGCCACTTGGGATATACAGACAATAATGGGCACTTTCAAAGTATAGTTGGTAGTACTTAACATTTGAGGTAATTCTTTTGGTTACAGCGTCTTCTCTCCCTTCAAAATCATGAAAATGAACAGAGTCTGCTGCCAAAGCACAGGCATGGCTTAGGGCATTATTATTTCAAAGCCCGGGAGGTGTCCCATCCTGGGAGAGGGCAAGTTATAGCTCAGAATCTCCACTCAAATTTTGTGCCTTCGGTGCCAAGTCAAACCCACTAATTCTTGAGAGCACTGTTGAAGAGCATTACTGAAGTCCTCACCTCCCGCATATGAATAAACTTTTACACATGCTGATGTCTAGCTAGAGGTTCAGCACACTTCACGCTCATACATTAGCATTTACAACTCTCCCTCCCCGAGAGAACGGAGAAAGCAGGGAGAAGGGACCCAGCAGGAGTAAGGAAACCGAAACAACGAAACCCATCCTACATAACTGCTTCAATCCGGATATGAAGAGGCAGGATACTTAGGGAGCAGGAAAATTGGGAAATAACTTCATACTCGATAAACGACCCACTCTGGGGTTCAAAAGTCAGGCACGCTGCTGGCTGAGAATCCCACCGGAGCGCAAATCAGCCCGTTTCCTCTCGCCTCTCACCACGTAAATGCTGCCATTTACGAGAAACTCATCGAAGTTGCATCAAAGTGACTTTTGGGAAGAGATGCCAATATATAATCTGCAGTGTGCTCCGGAAATGTGTAACTCTACACACCAGGCAGCGTTTCTCATAGAGCCCCCCTCCCCCTTCACTTTCAACTTCCCCTTAAGATGGGGACAGTCGCACAACCCTTTTTGTAAAATCGCAGGGAAGGGAAAAAAAATAATAATAAATAAATAAATAAATAAATAAATGCACCCCATTCCGATCACCGACGAGAGTCCAGCGCCCGGCGAAGGCTGTGGGCGCCACGCTCTCCGTCGCCCCGCGAACTCCTCCCGGAGGTCGACAAGTTTTCTCTCTCTCCCTTTTCCCGGAGCCCAGGAGGGAAAGGGGCGGCCGCAGGGACCGGAACCGCGCGACCTGGAACCCGGGGCCCTTTCTGATCGCGGCCGCGCCCGGCGCAAATGCCCGCGTTCGAGACCCGCCCGGGCGCGCGTGGGCGCCAACTTTGCGAGGACCCCGGCGCCGCGCCCCCGCGGGCCCCCGCTCCCTCGTCCCCCGGCTCCGCGGTCCAGGTGCCCCGCGCCCGCCCCACCCCCCGAGGCGGGACCCCCCCCCGCCCCGGCGGCGAGAGCCCGGATGGGGCGGCGGGGGCCGCGGGCCCCCTCCCGGGGCGGGCGCGGGGGCCCCGACCCCGGGCGGCCCGCGGCCCCCGTCGCCTGGGAGGCGCCCGGGCGAGCTCACCTGGCGGCTGGCGGCGGCCTCCGGGGCGGCCTCTGGGCGTGGGCCGGGCGGGGGCGGCAGGGGGGCGGCGGGGGCCGGGGCTGCCGCGGGGGCCGCCGCCGCCCGCCGGGCCTCGCCCCCACACGCACCGGCCGCGGCCGCCCCCGGGGAGTGCGGGGAGCGCGAGGAGCGCGGGGCGCGCGGGTCCCGCGGCGGCGGCGCGGCGCGGCTCAGGCGGCGGAGCGGGCGGCCGCGGGCGCCGCCGCCTCCTCCTCCATGGCTGTTTACCCGGCTGCATTGTGGGAGTTTGACCTCCGCCGCCGCCAACCGCCGCCTCAGCTTGCGCCGCCGCCGCCGCCGCGCACGCCATGGGAGCCGTGACTGACGGTGAGGCCCGGTCGCCGCCGCCCCGGCCCGCTGCCCCGCGCCCTCCGGCCGCCCCGGCCCCCACGGAGCCCCCCGGCCGCTTCCGGGAGCCCCTCGGAGCCCGGGCTGCTCCGGCCGAGCCCCCGAGCCTCTCGGCCTTTCCCGGGCGCCGCTCGGACTCCGCAGCCCGCTCGCCCCGGGGCCCCGCGGGCTCGGGCGGGGGGTGCGGGGACCCTCGTCGGGGCCCGGGCGCACGTGGCGCCCTGGGAAGGCTGAAGCCGTGCGGGGGCGGGTGGTCCCCGGAAGGGGTCCAGGCTGTGGGCGGCGGGGGCGAGCGGGCTTTTGGCGGGGCTGCTGGGGCCCGCGGAGCGGCGAGCGGGAAGCGGTGGGGGTCCTGGAGACGCGGGGGTCGGGGGCCCGCGGAGGGCGGGAGGGGGCACTCTCGGGAGGGGGCGGGGTTCGGTGCCCGCAGGGAGGGTGGGGAGACTGTACGGGACGAGAACGCGAGGGAGGTCAGTGTACAGAGAGTGGCGTTTGGGGGGGTCCTCTCGGCAGATCGGGAAGGGCCCCCAGTCGGTGGGGTGGATCTCGATGAGACCCGGGGACTAACTCGTGATGGGGGGGGGGAGCTGGGGACAATATCTGGAAGATGTGATGGGGCATCATGAGGCCAGTTGGGGAATGTAAGTGGAGAATTTTTGAGGAGATGGTGTAGGGTTGGGGCTACTTGGGGAGCCATGAAAACAAAGATATGTGTGTGTCCCCTGGGGAGTGGGAGTCAGGGAAGAGGTTTAGCTGGTGCAAAGTAGACCCATAGGTGGAGGGGCCCACGGTGTGGCCTGTGGAGTGAAAGCAGAAATAAAATAGGCCGACACCTTATGGAACAGGCAGGGAACTAGAGATGCCTGTGGAGAAGTCACTTCTGAAGAGGTCTCCATATTGAGGGACGAGGCAAATGCAAGAAGAGTGAAAGGCCCACCTTTGTGGAAGTGATGAGCAGTAGTGGAAAAGCCAGGTTAAGGCAGGAACCTGGTGGGGAATTTTAACTTTGCTTCTTTATTCCAGTTTCATTTACTTAGTTGAGGGTTATCCTGTCTGAGCTAGGCCTTGGAATTATAGCCCAAAAGCAAGAGTCAAAATCTTTCCCCTCTTGGAGGTTACAATCTGATGAGAAACACACATTGGATAATTATTTTTAAGGGCGACAAATATTAGCACAAGGCATGTACAAGTTTGGGAAAGTAGAATCAAAACTAGCAATCGAAAGATTGCTATTCATTCCCAGAAATCAGAACACCTCCCTGAAAAAAGTTATTCCTAACCCCATTTTTGAAGGATGAAAAGATGTGTTTGGACTGTTTTCCAGGTGGGGAGCTACTTGTGCAAAGGCCCCAAAGTGTTGGAAGTATGCAAAGATGGCAAATATTAGCTTCAGACTTATATAGTTTGGAGCTATGAGCTTGAGAATTCAAAGGACAATGGGGAACCATTAAACCTTTTGACATTGGTGTGGGATGGTCAGCTTTGCATTAAAAGAACAACCACCACATTCTACTATGAGGAGGGAAAGTGAGGTGCTGGTTATAGCAGTAAACTGGACAGAGGAAAGCCATGCTCGTGCTTCTCTTTCTAACATATTGTATTTATGCCATATGTCAAGTTGTATACTAATTATTATCCCAACTTTGCAGATGAACCTGGGACACAAAGAGTTTAAGTAACTTGTCTAAGGTTGCACAGGTGGTAAGTTATAGAGCCTGGGCTCTAACCAGGCAGTGGCTCCAGAGTTCTTACTCTTCACCATTATCCTGTCTCTTAGCTACTGCTGCAATGGTCCTAGTGAGAACTGGGATGTTTGGACCAAGAGGCAGTGTAGAGAAATAGGGGGCAGAGAAATTTATGTGCTATTAGCCAGGACTTCTGTGATTGAATGAATGTCAGAGGAAGAGCAGAGGATTAGGTTGGAATCTCAGGCTTCGGATTCGCATGCTTATTTGTGCTATTTTTCCATTTGAGGAAGAAAACTGGCAAAGAGGGATAGATTTTGTCTGTACTCAGGACCCTCCACATCCTTGGTGGTCACAGGATTCCCCATTCTGATACTTACACGCTGTCTGACCTTCTGCAGTTAATTTCATTGAACCTCAGCTTCGTTCTTTGTAAATGGGGATAATAAAATCTACTTCTTGGGGGCATTTTGAAGGTTAAATGCAATAGAAGTTATAAAAGCCTTTCCACTGAATAATGCTTTACGTTACTATAAACATAGTAATAAAATTCAGTAAATACTATTAAATGTAAAAGTTGGTTTATTCTTCTCCTTCACTTTCGTTTGACAAGGACTCTGCCTTTTTCCTCTCATTACTTGTACAGATTTCCCTTCCCTGCCTGGTGACCTGCATTTGTTCTTCAAAACCCGCTTCAACTCTTCCCTTCTCTTTCCTAGAACTAGTTATCTTTTGCTGGTTACCCATGTTATTTCATGAATGTTGCTGTTGTAGCCCATAGTACGTATGTGGCATATTCCAGAAAATATTTGAAGCAGTTTAACATAATGAGAAAACATAAAAATAAAAGAAGTGAATGAGTAAATAGGACAAAAGAGTATTGAGACTGGGAAAAACAAGAGGAAGTTAGAAGTGAGAAGTAGGGGTGATCCTCAAAATGTGGGTAAAATCTGGTACATTAATTAAGAAAACTACGTGAGTCTCTTCTTTCTTCATCAGCCCCTACAGAGAGGCAAATGCTGCTCCATTCTACTATCCAGTGTTTATGAGGAAAGGAAACATTAGATGCCAAGGACAAACAGTTTTTTCCAATTTAAGCACTGGAGGAAAAAAAAAAAAAAACTTACTGTAGGGTCCTCATTAAGAAAAGGCAGTGTCATATCCTTAATCTTCTTAGCTCTGAGGATCATAGGGTTGTTTCGGTTAGTAGCTCTGCTGGCTACCTTAATTCAGAACAAAGTCTTTTTACTCATTTGCTTTAAGAATGTCTATCCTGTAGAGGAAAGGACGAACTACATCTTCAGAAATTTCTCTGTAAACATGGTTTTCTCAGCTCAGCTTTTGGTTAAAATCAAACAGGAATGAGTGGTAATAGGCCAATACACATATATCCATAGCATACCTTCTAGGCACAGTGTGAGGTGCTGGTTACAGCAGTAAACTGTACAGAGGAAAGCCATGCTCGTGCTTGCTGGGGTGCAGCAGTAGCATGCAATCAAATAAGTAAGGTAATTTCTGAGAAGGAACATAATTAACTTGTGATGTTAAGTTACAAGGATGAATTAGATGGAATAAGGACAGAATAGTCAGGAAGGATTACTGACGATTAGGTTAAAATAGGGTGATTTTGAAAAGTGAGAGTTGAAAGGGTCAACTGTGTGAAGAGTTCAGAAAAGCATTCCAGATAATACAAAAACCTGAGGTGAAAGCAAACTCTTTGCCATTGTGGGAAGGTAAGGAAGGCTGTTGGGGCTGGATCCAGGTTGGCACTAAGGATGTGATGAAAAGAAGGTCAGAGAAATAATCCAGAGCCCACGGAGAGCCCTGTAGAACTCAGAAAGGAGGTTGAATTGTCTTCTGTGGGCATGACTGGAAATGATTGAAGGATGTTAAGCAGAAGAATAAGTGATCTAATACATTTTTTGCGTCATTCTTGGTTACTCTTTGGCAAGTGCATTCTGGGAAGGCAAAATGGAATCAAGGAGACCAATGAGTGGTATTCCAAGTGAGAGGTAAGGTGGGATTGCTTGAGGGTGAGGGTACCGGGGAGTACTGAGAAGTGAATGCCCTCCATATCTTAGTTATCCTCCTGAAAAGTGCCAGGAGGACGTTCAATACCTGTCTGTGGAATGTAGAGGAGGGCCAATGGCTTCTTACAATTTTGAGGCACCTGAAAAGGCATATGCCCTCACGTAATCCTTATCTGTGGTCTGTGTCCAGTTGGACTGGGAGCTCATGAAGGAGCTATTTATTTCTTGCACCCAGTACAAGGACACATTGGTTAATTTGAGAAAATACCCTGCCTCCAAGGGAAGGAGAGAGGCACTATATTGTTATCTATAGATACTGAACAATAATTATTACCATCAGTACTATGGCAATAGATTTTTAGAGGGAAAAATGGAGGTCCCAGGAAGTTAGTGATTTAGTTATTGGTAAATAACTATGTTAGTTATAGTTATAGATAAGTTATAGTTATTTGTAGTTATATACTAACTATCATATAGTTACTGGAAAAGCCTTCTCTCTCCTTCCCCGTTGCCACACTAGCATTTTGGCTCACTGAAAAGCAGTTTAGATGTTGTCACTGTTAATTTAAACTATGTTCACAGTTTGTATTTTGTATGTGTTAATTTAAAGGGTGTTAAACAGTGTTAGTCTCGGATAGAAATCATTTCAGAAGCACTTTTTGTGGTACAGGGACCAGTAGGTAGATATAGTGATATGTCAGAGCAGCAGATGGGAGATGAGAAAGGGGTAGTAGGAGCAGGATGTGGCTGCACATTCCATTTCATAGAACGTGTTGGTTTTCACAGCATTGTTTTATTTTTTAATCAAAAAGCATACTGCATGAATATATGCTTGTTAAAACTTGAAATAATGACTTCTAATATGCCTGTGAACAATATGACAGAGTAGTGGCATGGTAGTATAGCTTTCTAATAAGGTAATTATGTACATTTTCCTATGAAGGCAGAGGTGACAATACTTATCTATAAAAGGAAGATAACTGTACACTGTATAGGTTTGTTTTAAGGATGAAGTATGATAACATATGTATGGTACTTCAGAGCTAAGTGACCATTTATTGTCCAAACCAGGACACTTCAGAATGAAAGTAAACAAATGAGATATGTGGTCACCAAATAAGAGTGTATAAATGCTGTATTAACATCTGCTTCTGTTACTCCTTTTTCAATTGCTGATCCAGTGTTAATTAGCCATAACATTTGTGGACATGGGGTTTGTTTGTTTGCTTGTTTGTTTGACTACTGCCAGTGGATTTGCCCACTTAGCTCCCTCTTTGATTATCCTAGCACAGGGACTACTGATGCAGTTCAACTGCTGAATGTTTCTTTAGCCGAGATAATGGTTTTTTTCAAAGCAAGATTGGTGTTTCAACCTTTTCTTTATTAACACCACACTCTAAACATTTAAATAAACATAGAAAAAAGAGGACCTTAGCATGATTTTTCTCCTTTAAAAATTTTTTATTTAATTTGCTTTAAGTAATTTACTTTGGCATCAGCAACTTATTTACACTGGTTCTAAGTATCTCTGGAGAGATCAATATTTACACAAAGGAATCAGGCCATCTTATTGTTCTTTCCACTTTCCTTTTTGTTATCTTGATGTTATTGGCCTTAATTTTTTCCATAGTTTTAAGCTTCTTGAAAGAAGGGATTAGGTGTTATTTCTCCATTTAAAAAATCTATCGCAATGAGGCAGACATAATTCATTTTAATAGCTCACAGGCAATGGTGATCTAATGAGTTATCTAACAGGAATCTGCATTGAGACTGTTATTGCGTGGTTTGAGTCTCTTGTTAATAAGTCAAATCAAGCCAGAATTCTTTTTTCTCATTAATCCATTGTGGCCATATTGAAGAAAATTGATTAGAATTTTTAATACAGAAAAAATGAAAACACTTCAAAATGACCAATAACCTCACTATCCAGATAACCACTCTATTTTTTTAACTGATCCATGTCAGAAAATTCGAGAAGAAATACATAAAACGACAAGTGAAAACCTCCCCCTCTTCCATCTTCGCCTTCCACTACTCCCTCTCCCCAAAGGCAATCATTATAAACTGTCTTTGTGTACACTTCCTGAATGTTTTCTAAATGCCTGTGAAAAGTAGGAAGCGCCTCCTAAGTTTGAGTCCCAGCTCTGCTCCTTACTTTCTGTGTCATTTAATTTTGGGCAAGTACTTTCTGTTTCTTCTTTGGCAAAACAGGGGTGATAATACCTACTTTATAGAGCTGTTGTGCCAGTTAAGTGTTTACATTTGATAAGCACTTGGAAGCGTACTTGGCATATTGCAAGCGTTATGTATCTGTTGATTGGTATGCCAGTGTGTTCATAAAATTTAAAAATTTTATACAGATGTTTACACTTTTCTGTATTAATGCTTCTATAATTAATGCTAGATCTTGGACTTCTTTCTACATTCTTTTGTATCCAATTTGTAGTGTCTATTTTTTTTAAACTTATCAAACATTTGGTTCAATTTTGTTACTCTTACAGTGTTACAACGAAGATGTCTTTGTACACCTGTGGGAATAATGTCTAGAAGATAGGGGACCTTAGGGGGAGCGTATATTTTGTTTCAAATTTAGATATATAGTGTTACTTTGCCCCCCATAGCCAGCTATTTTTTCCCATGGTAATTCTGCCTCAAATTGTTACCCATTTCTATACTTTTCAGTTTGGATCAAGTGTTTTGGAACCCCAAGAAAGTCAGATATGAGTTCGCAAGAGGCTAGATTTCCTTGCCAACCTGCCTATAGAAAGGAAATGCTAATCCTCATTGGTAGATCACACTATTACAATTTCCCCAAAGCAGGTGAGATCACAGTGTTTGAGTTCTGGCTGTTGGGGAAGGCACATTTGAGATAGCTCAGCACAGGGAGGAAGTTACATAACAGTGAGGTGCTTGCTGCTGTGTTAAGTCTTGACCTGTCCTTAAAGAAATAATTTTGGAAGTTACCCCCTTTATAGCCCCACATCTTCCAAACTGTTTTCTTCTTTCCTTTTTTAATATTTCCTCCAAGATGTTCGGAAAACTTATTATCAAGGTTTTAATAGCTACTGTGCTACTGTGAGGAATAACAATTAGGGGTTTTGAAAGGAATGTTCATCTGGGTTTGTAAGACATCCTTTCCTTGCTGAAATGAGAGCACAGCTGAAATGGCTGTGTTGTCTGACCAGAGGCTAGGAAATTGAGAGTTGGTCTAGTGACTAGAAAGCAATCATTTCTTCCTGCCTTTCTGTTCATGAAAAATGGGGCATTAATAGCTAATCCACTGAAAGGAATTTTTGAAGCTCATTTAGTATCTTAAGTAGTTTTATATTCTTCTAAGTATAGGTTGACATGTAAGAAGGAAAAGGGTCTAAATACATACCAGTTTTGTAAGTGAAGATTTGCTTAGCATCAAATGTATCATAACTGACTTTAAAGTGACTTTGAATGGTAGCCATTTTATAAGTATAATTACAGTACAGCATATAACTAAATCCAGTAGGAAATCATCACACAAACCTAAAATCAGGTGAAAAATCACCATCCTCAGGACTGATGTTAAGTATTTTGGTTTAAAAACTACTCAGAATGAATAAAGAAAGTAATCATGACAACTTAGAATGATGTTGATAACATCAACAAAATAGTTTCTAAACCAGCTTTACTGTTTTCATAGGGTTTACTAGACCTGAGAGGATTGTCAATATTAGCTTCATAGCATTCCATCATATCCTTCTCCCAACATTTAACTGATCCCCTATTGATGGATATTTGGGTTATTTCCAATCTTTTGCTATTATAACATTTCAATAAATAATCTGACATATAGTGCATATCTACAACTATAGCTAGGATTGTTGGTTCAAAAATTATGTTATTTAAAAATTTAATATTGTTAAAAATGCCCTTTAGCTTTTTTGGTTGATGATTTTTGAGTATCTCAAGAGCAACACAAATCTACTTCCCTGCCCCCCCACCCCCAAGCCAAAGGAAGCTCTCCTAGCCTCTTCTACTGTGTGTATCACTCATTTAACACAGCCTCTCTGTGAATGTGTTATTTCTCCAACTAGAGGAAAAGAGCTGGGGTCTTTTTTTCATGTCCTCAGAACTTAACTCTAGTACCCTACATACACATCTGCTCTTTGATCAAATATTCATGTCTTCTGTACAAGTAGGGAAATTGCTGCTGTTAACCTGAAAATAAGATAATTGCCTGCTAGGCCTTGTTAGTGCTTTATTGAGAAAATGCTCTTTGGAAGACAGATGGTACCAGGCAGGCACCACAGAGCTATTTAAAAATATTTATTGCACATCAGAAATGTAAAAACCTAGGGTGAGAAAAGAGAATGAACAGGACGCAGCGCTGACCCTCATGAACCTTTCCCCAAGTGGTTTTGACCTGAACATTTTCAAAAATTTGTAATTGGGAAATCACATGCATATGTGACAGTGTACAGATCTGAAGTGTACAGCTAGAATGATCACAAAATATGTTTGAAATATTTTTTAGTTTCTCAATTTCAGAAATTTCTTGAAAAACCGACTCTGGTAATAGCTTCTACCTTTGGGTCCTCCCTCCAGCTTGTATCTGCTATACCTAGAATGCATTTATATTTAACATTCCTGGTCCTCAATAAAGTGGGAGGCCCAGGAGGCCTCTGGGAGGACGATGGCTTGTCTTGGAGTTTTGGAAGAGCAGAGCTAAAACCTGCAAAGGAATTGTTGGGCAGCATCCATGCTACCAGACTGCTGATCCGGTAGATGTTCACTTTCATGTTGAAGTTAAAACATGTTTGTAATTTTAAAAATCAGTTCACTTTCTGCGTTTTCATTCCTTCAAGGACTGTGTTTTCTCTCAGTCTCCTCAAACAATATTGTTGATGTTTAAAAACTGAAAATGTTAATTTGTATTTTAAAGTGTCAAAACACCTGATGAATCTGTAGCTGGAGAAGCCAGTCAAAGCCATGGCTGAGAGCAAAACCCAATTCTAAAGATGTTTATCTGATGTTGTCAAGGAATAGATTTTAAAACTGGAGCCATCTGCCCTCCAAAGTTTATCTCCGCTGCACCTGCGCTTTAAAATTCTTCTGCCTACACACACAGGAACTATTGTTTAAGATTTTTGTTGTTGCTTCATCAGGCAGGCTCTCTAAGAATTATGCACACTTTAAAATTTATTTTTTGTTTTTGAAAAAAAAAAAATGCATGTACATGGTAAAAAACAAACACTCCAAAACCAGACAAGAAAATTAAATCTTTTCTCCACCTCCATTTGGAATTCCTCTCACCAGAACAACCCCTATTACCAGTTCCTTAGGCATCCTTACAAAGATATTTTCTGAATACGCAGACACATTCATATGTGATGTGCACACACATACACACAAAACCTCCCTTTTCTACGCAAACGGTGACAAACTTGTACTTCCCTGTACCTGTTTTGTTTTCATTTTACTTATCATATCTACAGAGATTTTTTTGTGTCGGTGCATAAAGCCACACTATTCTATTGGCTGCATAATTTTATGTTACATTAACGTCTGATAATTTAAACAGTCTCTGACTGGTGAATGTTGAGGTTTGCCATCTTTCTACTACACATGACACTGCTAAGTAGGAAATCCCTTTCCATTTATCTTCGTGCATTGGTGCATGTATATAGGATGAGTGTGTAAAATTGGAAGGAAGGGGCCAGGAAGGTACTTGCACTTTAACTATTGTTTACTATTGCCCAGTTGCCCTATAGCCTGTACTAGCTTCCATTCCATCAGTGTATCTAAGTGTGGTTTCTTAACACCCTGGCCAATGCCTTTATTATTGGGTCTTTTGATCTTCGCCAGTCTGATAGATGAAAATACTTTATTGTGGTTTTAGTTTCTTTCTCTTGTTATGATCCAGCAAAAGCTCTAGCTTAGGGCTGCCAGGCAGGCAGGTTGGGGCCCCACTTGTTACTCATCATCTGTACTGCTTTTTGGAAATTTTTTACCTTGGGGCAACTGTTCCTTTTACCAATAACCTCACACTAGCAAGAGATTTGAAGAGTTCGATTTTCTACTGTCTGTGCACAGGTTTTTTTTAAAGCTGTTCCCCAAGAATTATTGATTTATTTTCTTGGTGGAACCTGAAAATTATTTCTACTAAACAACACATTGGGATGACATTCTGTGAGGGTAGGACTTTTCACAGCTGTCTATAACCCCAGGCCTTCCCTACAATGAGGCTGGATATACACAGTCTTGCCAAAAAATATATATATACACACACACGTATATGTATTTATAGTTAGATATCAGTATAAATTTCAGTAAAACCTAAACAAAATTTAACATTTCAACTATTTTAAAGCATATAGTTCATTGACCTTAGTACATGTAAATTTCAGTGATTTCTTTTGGAAGAATGAATGAGTAGTCATTGATTATTTTCCCTTGAGAGTTACCAAGAGCAAGTCATTTTAATTCACATTGTTCTTCTTACCTCCAGATGAAGTCATACGCAAACGTCTCCTAATTGATGGAGATGGTGCTGGAGATGATCGGAGAATTAATCTGCTAGTGAAAAGTTTCATTAAATGGTGTAATTCTGGATCACAGGAAGAGGGGTAATTCATTTCATTGTTGTTTCTGTGCCAATATCTTGATGTGATCTTAGACTGTACATTGTAATCCTGTTACTATTTCAAAATTTCAGTTATCTTAAATGTCCAGTGGTGTCAACTCTTGATTAATTAAGAGTAAATATTTCTGGCCTTTATTTCTCTGCAGAGGCCTGCTTTATGTTTATTAATATGTGCAGAAGGCAGAGTGGTAAGAAGAAGTAAAGATTACATTTAGACTCACTAATTTGGTCACTTTAAATAGATAAATATTTAGCAAGACAAAATAAAATTTTTCTTTAATGAGCTAATAAAATATTGCTGCAAGGTTTAACATAAATATTACTTTTTTTACTTAGAACAATTTTCATTATTTGGATTAATATTCAATATAGATAATTATATAGAATGAAATAATTGTGAGAACAGAATTTTGAAGCTAAAAAAATCAAAATAGTTTTTAAAAATACCAAATATAGTTATTTGAATTAAGTTTATAAGAACAGTCCTATCCTTCATAGCTAGAGCCACTTACAAATTCAGGTACACCACATTTGGAAAAAGAAAACTTGGAAACCACAGGTGTTCTAAATTATTTTTTGTTTTAAATAAATCAAATGATTTTCTTAGAACTTGGTATAATTTAGTTAGCAAATCTTTGCCTGTACTGTAATAATACAAATTTGGTCATCTAAAGAATTCTTTATTCTGTTTCCCTTTCTCATCAGATATAGCCAGTACCAACGCATGCTGAGCACACTGTCCCAATGTGAATTTTCAATGGGCAAAACATTGCTGGTTTATGATATGAATCTCAGAGAAATGGAAAATTATGAAAAAATTTACAAAGAAATAGGTAAAAATAACAAACATACCAATGTTTTCTATCTGTAAATTTTTATGGTCTAAAAGAAAACACTATACTAATAATTTTACTTTGCTTAGTGGTAAAATAATAATACAGTAGTAATAGAAATAATACATTAAATATCGACTACAAAAATATATTCAAGTATGATACAATACTTTGGGTTACAGGTATTTTTTAAATGCCGCCTTTTATTCTGTTAGTAATGGAACTTAATTTAAAAGCATTTTGAAATTGAAATGGATGACTATCTTAAAAACACCTCTTTATATAGAATGTAGTATTGCTGGAGCACATGAAAAAATTGCTGAATGCAAAAAGCAGATTCTTCAAGCAAAACGAATACGAAAAAATCGCCAAGGTAATGGTTTTATGGGACTTAATGTGCAGATACTTTATTACTGACTAGTATTTTCATGCAGTTTTTAATATTCTGAGGTAAAATCGACAGCTAGAATCAACCTGAATTATGTAAGATAATTGGGAGCAAGCTAATTCTGTAAAACTCTATTATTTAAAGTAGAAAAGGAAGGCTGTCTGAAAAAAAAAAAAATCCGTTACTGGATTGTATTGATTTTCCAAGTATTTAAGTATTCGTTGTTTTACTGTCTTCAGAACTCTTTGCTTAAATAATGCTATGGTTGATTAGCAAAGCAATTTGTGCAAATTCACTAGATTAAGAGTATTTGTTTTAATGTAGCTATTTTTAACAAAATGAAAAAAAGAATGTAATTTAAACCCATTGAGTTTTTACTAAGTACAAACTTACTTGAAAGTACAAACAAACTTGACACATGAGAAACTAGATGGAAATAAAAAATGCCAGTGGTTATTTGGGGTTTGTAGATTTTTATGGATTATGTTCTTTTTACATTGAGCATAGCTTATATTTTAATCCAAATAATTTGTGTTAAATCAATAAATATCTTTTTTTAAGATTAATTTATCCAATTAATAAGCTGAATTCAAAACCATGGATTTTACTTTTTAATAGCTAATTAAGGTGACCTTTAGTTCCTAATTTTTAGAAGTTGGTTTTGAATTCAGTCTAAAATACTTATGATCAAGTTTTGGAAGGCAATTTATAGTAAGCTATGCCAGCTTATTTAAAAATTATTTCAATTCTAAAACTCTTAAATGTTTCATTGTATTTTTGTTGATTATTGAGGCTTTTAAATGAATGTTGCCATTTATCATTTTATAAGAAAGGTTAACAGTAGATAGACGATATATTGGAGGTCTCAGTGGAACAGAAAAAAGGTTTCTGAATTTTATAGCATTTCTGTTTCTAAAATCTTTACCTTTAGAATGAGAAGTATAATTTGCTGTTGTCTAACATCTTAAATTAATGGTAGGATATATTTACCTTGCTGATCTTTTTTCTTTTTTACTGGGCAAATAGTGTGTAAGATACTCTTCAAATCAGTCCCCTTCATGATCAATGACTTTAATCCATTATGCTTATGCTGAACTTTTGTCTTCTGCCCATAGGTAAGTGGGAGAGAAAAAAAGTCTGAGATGAAGTCCCTGTTTAGAATACTTTTGAAGTCTGTATCATTACAGTTATGATTGAATCACATGAAACTAAAAATATTCTTTCAATGTTTCTATTTCTTATGCAACTGGAAAGTGATTAGAGGAGATTTATGGTGTTATCCTTTTTGGTTTTGATAATCCACGTACAAAAAAGCCTTAATTTGGTAATTTTTTTTTTTTTTTTTTTTTTTTTTGCCTTTCAGAATATGATGCTTTGGCAAAAGTGATCCAGCATCATCCAGATAGGCATGAGACTTTAAAGTAAGTTTAGAGCTTTGCTTTGAAAGGAGCTTATCTTATTACATAAATATATACTCACATGCACATTCCCTTTGTATAAGAAAAGATGCTTCAAAAAGTCAGATCTTCAATATTACATATTCTAGTACTGACTGATTAAATTTTTCTTCCTCCTACCTTATTGCCTATAATTCTATATAAATGCATATATCAATAGAAAAATGGATAAACAGAATGGTCTGCTTATATAGTAACACATAAAAACAATAAGCTGGATATATACTTTAAAACACATACCTCAAAATCTTAATCAGTAGGGGAAAAAAGGGCATATAATGAATTTTAAATTATTCCTAAGTTTCTGAACTACATACAGAATAACCATTTGTAAAATGGTTATTTTACATTATATCCTAGCAATACTGTATACTCTTATATGATATGTTTATACTGTGTATTATTCAGAGAACGAATATCTACATTAAAAAAGGATTACAGTGATTGAGGAAGTACTAGAGGAGGAAAAGAAGTCTGGAATAGAGGGCTGACAGTAAGGTTCAAAAATAGTTCACGTCTGGGCCTCCCCGGTGGCGCAGCGGTTGAGCGCTGGGTTGCGAGGCTGCCCGTGGCCTCTGTGGCGCCAGTTCGATCCCCGACTGCTCCCTGGCCACCGGAGGATGGTCCCACGTGGCGCACAGGCCTCTCCTGCCGCCCGCTGCTCCCCTCAGCTGTGTACTTCAGTCCTTCTGCCTGCTCTGCTCCCCGCTCTGGCTCTGGTGAATTCTCTCACCCTCCCGCGCTTCTGACTGTACCCAGTGCTTGTATAAACAAACAAACAAACAAATAAATAAATAAAAACATGCTTCTATAAAAAAAAAATTAAAAAAAAATAGTTCACGTTTATCTGCAATTATTATTATTTTTTTTTTTTACTAATAAGAAGTAAATACAGCAAATGTTAAAATTTATCAGTTTGGGGGTTCATTATCCTGTTACCTATATTGTATTTTAAAAATTATTCAATAAAAATGTAATTTTAATGAAAATAACTGCATATTTAGCAGTTAAGAAATCATTCTTAGTTTTAAAAGTCTTACCTTTAATGGACTTTTTTTTTTTTAAGATTTATTTATGTATACAAGAGCTGGGGTACAGGCCAGAGATGCAGGGGGTGAGAGGATTCACCAGAGACAGAGTGGGGAGCAGAACAGGCATATCTACTGAAATACACTGCTGAGGGGAGCAGTGGGTCAAATAGGAGAGGTCTGTTGTGCCATGTGGGTTGCTCCCTGGCCAGCTGGGGATCGAACTCCGTGCTGCAGAGGCTGTGGACTGCTTCATAGTGCGATGTTTAACCCCTTGCGCCACCAGGGAGGCCTGAGGGTGATAACTCTTTATCATTTTTATTTTTTAAATACTATTTGATGACCCAAAAGTGAGATATTGTGATTTGTTGTCCCAAGTAGCAAAAACATAACACTGTTTTATTTATTTTTTTTTTTTCAGAGAACTAGAAGCTCTGGGAAAAGAATTAGAGCATCTTTCACATATTAAAGAAAGTGTTGAAGATAAGGTATTTGCCTGTATTCTTAGCCTTTGTGATATGTATATTCTTAAGGATCAATGTGTATTAATTTTCTTCTTGTTAACACAGCTGGAATTGAGACGGAAACAATTTCATGTTCTTCTTAGTACCATCCATGAACTGCAGCAAACATTGGAAAGTAAGTAGAGGGAATTTCCTTGAATGTTTTCAAAGATTTTTAAATGATCCAGGGCCAGGCCTTCTAAAATAACAAAGAACACATCTTCCCTCTCAGAAGAGGAGTATAACATTAGAATGTACTGACAATGTTCAACTTTTTTTTGCTTGAAGTACTATTGTTTTATCTCCTTGCTAGTGTTTGACAGTATAGGGTTTTTCCCCTCAGGTGCAGTCTCACCATAGTCCTCCACCATAGTCTGTTGTGCTCTCTTTCCCTATCCCAGTCTCACCCCTCCCCCTCTGAAAGCTGCAAATCTATGATCAGCTTTCAGGGGTTCTTTTTAAATTGATCTTTGTCTGACCCTTTATTTGGTTTTTCTATATTCCACATATAAGTGATACCATCTGGTATTTATCTTCCTTCTTCTGACTTACTTCTCTTAGCATAATCCCATCCAGTTTCATCCATGTTGCTGCAAATGGCATGTTTATCTTTTTGATCACTGAGTAGTATTCCATTATATATATATCTTGGCTTTTGTTAATAGTGCTATAATAAACATAGGAGTGCAGGTTTCCTTTTGAGTTAGCATTTTTATATATTTTTAATTATAGTACTGTATTATTTAAATACATAACCAGTGGTTTAAATTATGAGAAGTTCAAGGATGTTAGATCTACAATTTTTCTTGGTTTATTATCTTTTATCGATATGAAGTAATGATTCAAGACCCAGGCAAGCAATGATGAGTGAGTGAAATGATCCCAACATATGCACATTTGCATACTCTGGATCATGGATGCTTTGGGGAACCGGAGACTTGCTCTTTTTATTGCCTATAGCCAATTGGAAATTTCTATTATCTGATTGTTTTCAAGGAAGCCTAAGATCTAGATTTTTTCTTTTTAGTAAATATATCACATAAATTTTATATTTTGATTAATCAACAACCAAAATAGCACTTTTAAAAACAAATCCTGTGTGGGCTGATTATAGGCATAGGTTATAATTTTGACATCTTTAAATAGATTGGCTATTAAAGAACAAAAATGGTATTTTATACAATTCAAACATTTAAGCATTTTGACCAAGGTGTTGGTTCTTTCTCAATTGCAGATGATGAAAAGCTCTCAGAGGTAGAAGAATCTCAGGAAACAAGCATGGAAACAGATTCTAAGCCATAGACAGGCTAGTCACTCACCATTTCCAAGAATATTGAAGTAGCAGTATGATCTTATTGTGCTTAGAATTTGTTGTGCTCTTGAGATAAAGTTTTGGCAGTGAACTACTTTGCTTTTAAATATTAATGCACAATTCTTTCATATTTCTTTACATAAAGAAAAATGATGTCGGTATAGATTTCTTGTTATTTAAATGCCTTTTTTTAATCCTTAAAAGATTGGAAGCAACATCCAAATGTTCAATAAAGTGTTTTCAAGTCAAATATGTTTGTGTTTGTTAGTAGTCCAAGTAGTTTTTAATAACATTGACTTGCTTGCAGAATAAGTTGAAGATTGTGAAGTAGCAATTTCTGGAAATTACTACCACTTTTGAAAAAGAAGTCCATGGACAGGCTTCAGGAGAGTTATGAAATTATGTGCAAAATACTTGTGGAGTATATGCATTATGGGAGAGGTTCTATGATGATATTAATAATTACTGGGATAAAGGTAATTACCAGACGCAAAGTAAATCAATATGCATTACTTTCTAGATCTGTTTAATACTGGAGCAAAGTGATTGTTAATTGTAAAGGATTTTATAATCCTTTTAAAAATTAAGCTACGATAAAATCAGTTACAATTTTCTTAAGTATTGAATTACATGTTCAATACTTGTTAGATTTTATCCTTATCCATTTACTTTAGTTCAGAAACATGACACTTCCCATGAATCATACTTTAATAATGTTATATTTTAATAAGAATTCTTATCTTTAAAATTGAAAGTTTAAAATTAGCTCAGTAGTAGTCATATTAAAAGTGTCATAATACTTTTAAGTGCTTCCTCTAATTTCATCTGGCAAATCATGGAAGAAATTTCCCAAATAGTTATACCCTAATAAATGTTTCTATTTTCCATTATTAGTGAGAATTATAAAGCGAAAGTTTGCTTATTTTGACTTAGAATTAAAAATTAAGGTTTTAAAAAAGGATTTAAGGACTATTGAGTAGAATATTCTAAAATATACTCTCCTCCCCCAATGATTAATTCACTAAAGAGATTTATTAGGATTATATACCAAAAGATAAGACTCTCTATTAATATAACCTCTTTGCAATCAGGAATAGAATCAAAAGCAGCAGCAGGTACATGGAAAACATACGTTTTTCAACTTATACTTCCTCATGGTTCTCTTGGATATCCTCTGGAACTGCTTAGAAGACTGAAGAATTTCATCTCCTAGAAACTCACACTGTTGAAGTTCAGCATGTCTTTGGGCCAATAGCTTCAGGGATTTATCAGTTACTGTTTCTATGAGGTCATCTACCTATAATACATAGAAACATGAAGCCATGTTGTTGGAAATCTTTGTCAGAACCAAAAGGATGGGTGTTTTTCCTGAGATATGAGTTCCGGAATTGGTGGACATTTTGCAAGTCCCAGAGTATTATTCTAATTCAAGTCATAGCAAACAGAGCTTGAAAACATACATTTACCACCCAGTGGTAAAGACAGTCTCATTTCTTCTGAAAAGAAGCCTGCGTGCATGCCTTGATTTTAATTGAATTCACTTAATATTTATTAGGCACACAGCATTATCCTAGGTGCCCTTAGCAATCCTTTAGCCACTCTCAGAATGCCCCCCACTAACATTATTTCTTAATGCTAATCATTAATTTCGTCCCATATCCTGCTGTCTAGCAGAAGAGTGCACTCAGTACTGTTCTGATGTTTCTGAAACACAAAAGTAAAAGCCTTTGTCCACTACCTGCATTTGAAGCTTTCCTACTGTCAAATCTGATTTTCGGAGGATGTTTTCCATGCTATGTTTCTTTTTTTTAAGTGCCGGAAAGTGTGGTCTCTTTTTTGATGAATATGGAACCTATTGTAAAAATGCAAAACACATTGGATTAGGAAGTACCAACATTATTTCTGGGATGGGACTTTAGTAAGAATTCTCACCCTTGGGACATTCCCTTATAAACTGAACATTTGCCACATAACGTTTGGTTGGAGAACGTATTCATATTATTCTCCACACTACATGCATTTCCTTTGTGCCCAGAGCTCTCTTTGAAGGGATCTATAGGGTGCAGAGAAATGAGATTGTCTGGTTCTGAAAGAATACAGTGTCAGGAAAAAAGCAGGTCATTCGTAAAAGGAGGAAGAAATTGCCTCTGCAACTGCTGAGCACAGCAAGAGAGTGGGGCTGTTGTGGACCAGTGCCCCAGAAAGCTCATTATCACTGGATCCAGTTGTTAATTTGGTCTCTCTTCTGCAGGTTTCCTTATTTTCATGGCAGACATGTCTCCAAACATAAAAAGAAAGCTCTGGGTTCTTTTCTCCCCATGCCTGTTACTTTTCCTCTCATTCTTCACTTGCTGGCTACAAGTGCCTGTCCTAATAGTGTTGCTATTGGAAATCATTCCTAGGTTATAGTTCCTGGCTAATGCACCCCTTTAAGTCTCAGTGGGTTCACTCTTCCCCTTGTGCTTAATAATTAGCACTAGGACTTTGGTGAGACCTATGCAAAGTAGGAAGTGGGACCACATGTTGCCCTACCCTTTGTCTGATCGTGTTTACAGTGAGTCTATTCAATAACTGCTCTGCCCTACTAGCTTGCTCAGGTTCCAAGGTCACTCATTCCAAATCCATCTAAAGTTGGATACCTCTTTTGTTTGCTCTCTTATAAAACTCAGTACTGGGGCCTCCCTGGTGGCTCAGGTGGTTGAGTACAGCGCTGTGAAGCTGTCCGCAGCCTCTGTAGTGCTGGTTCGATCCCCACCGCCCTTGAAACAACCCATATGGCGAGGCAGACCTCTCCTGTCTCCCCTGCTGCTCCCCTCAGCAGTGTATTTCATCATTCTGCCTGTTCTGTTCCCCACTCTGTCTCTGGTGAACCCTCTCACCCTCCTACACATCTGGCTTGTACCCCAGCTCTTGTATAAATAAAATAAAATCTTTAAAAAAAAAAACAAACTCAGTACTTTTTCCCGCTAAGCACTTACCACACTAGGTAATTTCTAAGTTATTTCTGTGTTTGTTGAATGCAACTATTAAAAAGTCAAAAGCCTAGGGCCTCCCAAGTGGCGCAGCAGTTGAGCGCTGGTTTGCGAAGCTGCCCGCAGCCTCTGCAGCACCGATTCGATCCGATTCGATCCCCAGCCGCAGGGCGAGGGTCCCACATGGTGTGCAGACCTCTCCTGCAGCCCGCTGGTCCCCTCAGCAGTGTACTTTGTCAGTCTGCCTGCTCTGCTCTCCGCTCTGACTCTGGTGAATTCTCTCAGCCTCCTGCACTTCTGATTGTCCCCAGTGCTTATATAAATAAATCTTTAAAAAAAAAAAAATTTAAAAAAAAAGTCAAAAGCCTAAAGAACCAGGCAGGATTTGTGAAACAGGACCAATTGGGGCAGGTGTGAACTAGTGGCAAATGCCTCCTGCAAAGGGGACAGCCTCTACAGTTACTACCAAGGTCATGAGGGTTATAAGTTTGCTGCTTCCAAATCCTCAGAAAGACTTTTGAGATACTTCATGTTTAACGATAGGCAATTAATACAACTATGTTTTTGAGAAAATCTATAGCCAATTGACAACCTTTGATTTAATGTCTCACCTAATAACATTCATAATTTTAATGTAGAAAAATGTATTTAGCTTTAACTTTATGATCAGCGATGCTTGCTTTTTTTTTTTTTTTTTTTTTTTTTGAGATTTATTTATACAAGAACTGGGATATAGGCCAGAGGTGCGAGAGGGTGAGAGGATTCACCAGAGACAGTGGGGAGCAGAACAGGCAGATGGAGCAGCAGGCAAGACAGGGGAGGTCTGCCACGCCATGTGGGTATCTCCCTGGCTGGCCGGGAATCGAACCTGTGCTGCAGAGGCCACAGACAGCTTCACAGCACTGCACTCAACCTGCTGTACCACCGGGGAGGCCCAGTGATGTTTGCTTCTTAAGAAGTCTTAATCTATACCGAAATCATGAAGATATTTTGTTGTCCTCCAGAAGTTTTAAGGTTTTACCACTACCACATGGAATTAATTTTTTGTGTATGGTGTTGGAAAGGGATCACATATCATCTTTGTCTCCACACAGATGTTCACTTGTCCCGGCACCATTCGTTCAAAAGATTGTTCTTACCCCACTGTTTTGCAGTACCATGTTTTAATGTCTATCTCTGTTAAACTTAAGTTCCACAAGACAGGACTGTGTCTGTTGGATCATCTTGATAGCACCCAAATCTTTATCCAGCACATAATAATAATATGATAAATATGAACCTAGCACCTAAGAGACAAAATTCAAACTATTGGTGTTGAGAAAGTACTGCTGTAGAACAAACTTCAATAGAACTCTGTGGAAATGGAAATGTTCTTTATCTGTGCTGTCCAAAACAACACCCACTAAGTACATGTGGTCATTGCGCACTTGAAAGGTAGTTAGTGCAACTGAGTTAACAGTCAATTTTATTTCAATTTTAATTACCTTAGTCATGTGTGGCTATTGGCCACTATGAGGTCCATATTAATTAGCTTAATAATTAAGAACATGGATTCTAGAATTGGGTCTCCCTGGGTTTGAACCCTGGCCCTGACACTTACCTGGGCGAATCATTCAACCTCTCAGTGAAATACAGTATTGCTAGTTACCTTATAGCACTGTTGTGAGGATTCTCTGAGTTGATATTTTTAAAGCGCTAAGAAGGGCCTGTAACATAGCTTTAATAAACACTTGTTATACTTAAAATAATAATAATCATTCAGGGTTCTATTTTGAAAACCAGTCTGGGAAGTTTAGGTTCAAATCTCTATACTTAGGAACTTATTGAAGAGTCCTGGACTGTCCAGTGCTGCACTGTCCACAAGTGGTATAGTATTTATATGTACTTATGTGGCATTAAATATATTAATTGCAATTAAAGTAAGAAATTTAACTCTTCAGTTGCACTGGTCACATTTCAAAGTCTCAAAAGCCACATGGGGCTATTGGCAACTATATTGGACAATGCACACGTACATCCTCAGAAAATTCCACTGGGCAGTACTGGCCTAGTGAATTCCTCTCCACACAGCATGAATGGCAGGCCTGATACTGACATACTAGCTTGACATTTGAGCACTTGACAAAGTCTAAAGCTGAAAATTCCACTGCTGCCCAGATTGTAGTTGAAACTGAACAGTTTGAGCTTAGAAGTGGAGGAATCAGCCAACTTTCTATGACCTCAATTCTTAGGAGATACTATCAGCACATTTAAAGCCTTTATTCTGAGGGGCTTGTGGTAGGAGAGAATTGGGTCT